AATAATAATGATGATGATGATGATAATAATAATACAGGATTTAACTAAATAGGTTTATTTTTGACAATGACAGCTTCTATTCATCTGTACAGTACAGTGAATGGCTGAGCACAGGTGCTAAATCCATTCAGTCCAGTGTGAAGGGCATTAGCATGGAAGAGGATGGATTATTGATTTAGTCATCTGTTTTCCTGTTTTTTTCATTTCATTGGAGGAAGAAATGTAAGTGTAGATATGGGACCAGACATTCCAGACTAGATTTAAATATTACAAAGGTCGAAATTGGACACTTTGTGCTATTCTGTTTTAAAACTACTAGCTAACTATAAGTGTGGGTAAGAATTAACAACAGGCCTAATGTTTCCTGTGCTGGCTTCTGTTAATGAATTTGAAACTTTTATCTGATAAAATAAAGACATTTCTGTCTGAACGTAGCATGTCACTGTGGAAATAGCTAACGCTAGCAATGCTGGATAAAGTTAATGCTGTCAGCTTGATGAGGGCTAACACAGAGGTGGTCGAGGAAAAAAAGCGTAGCATTAACTATGGGACTGTGTTGGTATTAAATTTAGTAGCATTAGCTTTGCAAAGGTTAGACTGCAGCAGGTCTGCTGTTGTTTTCCATAGCCGTTAGCGATAACATCTTAAGCGCACAGGCTGCTAACTACATGTATAAAACTAGCTACAACTAGTTGTTTGACTGTATTTTAACCATGCAAATGTTTGCATGAAACAATATCAGCCTTCATTTATTGACATGTATGCTAATTGTGCACAGTTGCGCCAATGAAGAAGCTTTATTTCGCACAAACGTAGACAGGGGCGGCGCATGGAGCTGCGTAAAAGACAGGGTCCCTCTTCTGAAATCTCGGCACGCCTTTCTCCATCAGCTGAATCTGCTAAAGCGGCAGGTTTGATTAGAACTAGAAAGGCAACTCTGGAAGAAGTGTTTGGGAGGACTGGAGACAAACAAGGTAAATTTTCTAAACTGACATCTGTAGCTTCAGTAAGTTTTTGAGAGCAAATTTAAGAACCTACTTTTTTCCATAACACTGGAGTTATCAACTAGCTGTTGCAAACTCCATGACAAGTGTGTATGTTTCAGTGTACTGAAGAGGATCAAATAATTTACTCTAAATTTACTCTACAGTAAAGGCAATGACTGAGCTGCCAACTAAGCGGGGTTTCCCTGGACCACCACCTGCCAACAACGGGCAACAACCTTCTTCAAGAAGGTAAGCGTGCCATCTCTCTCCCTCCCTCCTCTGTTTGTCTCCTCCGTTAAAAAAGCATCTCACGGGCAGTTCCTTCAGCTTCCCTGATGCTCGCCTCTCTTCTCTATTGACATTTTAATAGTTCATTGTTAACACGATGTCTGACCCGGTATGTTGCCGCATCGGCATTCCGTTTGCTGCAATCGCAAAAATGCGCACATGGCTGGAGGAAGTTTTTCGTGATAGCTGTTAATAGAATCATTTATATACAAGGAGGAGGAAAAGTTTGTTTAAAAAAATACTATTTCACTATATAAACCTGAAGTCAGTGTCTACCAGCTGGCCTGTATGTGTGGAAAGAAAGAAAAAATTATTTAACGTCACATCTCGAGTTATCCGCAGTTCAATTAAGACAGGGGTTTTAGGCCATGTGCGTAAATGCGCACCAGGCTGTGTGAGGCTGTGGGCAGTATTAACGTCTGGTTTTTGGATGTTATATTCGGACATTAATCTAGCACCATTACAAAGTAACATTAACGAGTGCATTTTAGACAAACATTTCGATAATTATATATAATAGGGCTGATCGAGGGAAGTAACTTGAAAATGTCTCTGTGTGCGCGCACAGCGGGGAAAAGATAGCTTTCCCAGGTGTCAAAATTTCTGTTGACATTCTGTCTATTCTGTCTAAAAGTCTGATAACCAATCAGCTCGTTGAACAAGTGGATTTGGCTGCATGTAAAACAGGCTGCGTGAAGAACCACGATCGGGTTCGTCTCTCCCTCCTGCTGAAGCTACTGATTTTCAGTTCGGCTCCATCATCAAAATCCTAGTATTACTAAAGA